GGGGGGGGGGGGGGGGGGGGGGGGGGGGGGGGGGGGGGGGGGGGGGGGTATCGTGTTGATTGCAGAAGCGAAAGGCGGGAACGGTGCAAAGAACAAAGGAGATTCAAGTGGTGCAGTCTTTTCACCAAAATGTGAAAAAAAAACTCAAACATGGTGTCCGGGCCTTAGCGACGACAAGCGCATAGTACCGACTCACAAATTTCGTTCAGCGGAAAAAAATGGATGGAATATTGACTCTAGGTAGAAGACGAAACGGGGCAGGTAAACGGGCTGCTGATTCAAGCACGATGGCTGGTGCCGTGGGACAAAGCCCCGTGCGCACAAAAACTCGAACAATATATCGACAAGTAATTTCGTTGTGATTGGGGTGTGAACCTCACTACTCACCCCCTGACGATCGGCTCCACGGCGAGAGCGACCGCGGCGAGCTGATACCCCCCCGAGGGTACCCCCGCGGTTGTCTGCGGAACCCCCGCGTTGCCCCCGCCACGGCCTCCTCCCCTCGCTCTGTTGTCCGCCGCGCAATAGGCGGCCTCGAGACACAAGTCGTCCGTCGGGGCTTTGGTGACCCCTTTCAACCACCTGTGTGTTTTGCAACAAATAAAGTAGTCGGATGCGACCCCGTGGTCACGCGCAACGGGAAAAGTCAGATCAACTCGTGGTGTTCGTGGTGTGAGTGTGGAGAGCACTACACCGTAGATCGAGAGGAAGCATGAAGGGTGCTTGGATGCGGGAACAAACCGTGTGTGATATAGAGGTTCAACAACCGCAGCACACAGGCTTGCAGACGAAACAGTTACATTTTTCTGGGAACAAAACCAAGAGCGAGCACTTGATTTTCCCATCAACTACAACGGCACTGAGAGGCTGGCTTACAATCACCAACAGAGCATAACACCCACTCTGAGCTCGTTGTATTAACAACTAGAAGCATATGCATATGGGGCCGCAACATCACCTTGTCTACCCGCCGCCCGCCGTATTGTTTTGACTGGAGGGTGGCTTCACACGGCGGCTACAGGACTACAGGTGTTGTTTTGCACTTCACGCACGAAGACAAGGCTCGGTGCTGCTGGCGGGCCACACATGCACACAAAATTTCCATCTATAATCCGGAGAGTAGCTGAGCCTCCGTTCACGGTTCACGGGGTTTCAGATCATAGCCATCCAAAGCATTTTGTGTGTTCAGCCGCAACGAGACCGACGTCCTTTCTTTGCTCAGCTAGCGCGTTCTTGTAATAAGCGTGTTCAGCCGCATCGAGACTGACGTATTGCTAATGGTCAGCCGTTAGCGCCGTCTATGCTAGTAATAGAGAGTGTTTTCAGCCGCAAGGAGACTGACGTATTTTTGTCAGCCGGTTAGCGCCATCGATGCCAAAAAATAAGATGCACGTACAGCACAGGTGCCGGTACGTGCCCAGAATATTATCCGGCACAATACCGGACACCGGCACTATTCAGGACAGGGATATGTAGGTTTTAGGATAGGAGTGTGGACACTCGTGCCCACATACTTGACCCGGCACTATTCAATCGGCACTAAAGAGGGACCTGTACCTAAACATGAGATCGACCACGCCGGCATTCCCTTCGCGACCATCGGCAGCCCGCAGCAACTCTTGCAGGCCTCCGGCGACAGCTCCGCTGGCGGCGTCATCTCGGCCCTTGAGTTCCCACTCCAGGATGGCGGCTTCCTGCTCATCCAGCAAGGGGGAGGGAGGGTACCGGTGAGCGCGCGGAGGGCGGGGGGGGGGTCCCATCGTCATACTTTGCCGTAGTTGTTGGGACGGAATGGCGTACCCGTGTGTTGCTCGCCTTTGATCGTTGAGCACGTATCCTTCTCTCTAGATGATGAAGCAATACACTAATGCAGCAGCCTTTGTCGTGGTAGGAGGCACCAACAACCTCAAACATTTTTCATGCTGAGGACAAATAACACATCATGGAACATATAAAACGCATACTGACCCCCTTTCCATTTGCCAGGGTCGGTCTAACCAGGATTGCACAAGGCCGTCGCCAAGCCACAGACCGCACGCGTCCCTTCGTTACAAGAAGGTATACCAGCATCACAAGCAACTGCAAAGGTACACCAGTATCACATGCTACAAAAGGTACTTAAGAAGGTACACCAGCATCAGCGCGAACAACAACGCCGCAAACAATACAAAACCCTTGTCTGTTGGGGTCTTCCGCTTAGAGTCTCCCCAATTCCCTGCAGTCGAAACAGGCGAAGAGCGCCAGGTCAGCAGACTAATGAAAAACATTGGCTGTAACGACAGTACCAAGAACACCATCGACACACAGCGATCTCAACCCCCGCCCAGACGGTGGAGGTGTGTACCGTAGGTGACACAAGGTACCACACCCCCTCGGCCGATTCTCAGAGCTCGATTACTCCACGACAAAGAGGATGCATACATACATGAAGCGATACGTTTTCGGAAAGCTCTCGACGCTCGCCGCCGTTCTCGGCGCTGCCACTCATTCTGTTGTGGAGAAATCGAGCTTTGAAGACCGGTTCAGGGGGTGCGGTATCTTGCGTCACCTACTGTACTGGATATCGACCTTTGTGTCGAACATCGTCGTAGCAAATGAGGGGACGGGGGAGGGGGGGAGGGGGTCCCGCTGAATCACCTCCTTGCAGTCGGAGCAGGCGAAGAGGCTGGTCAGACCCGGGGTGACCTCCAGGCATCTCGGGTGGTAGACCAGGTGGCAGAAGTCGCAGCATAAGACAATGCCTCCTTCCCCGCATCTGGTGGCGTTTAAGAGCAGCAGCAACAGCAGCAGCACATATGATACCCTGCCACCGTCGGCGACGCTTTTTCCCACGGTGAAAGCTGTGCGTAAGACTTCGGTGTTCAGCATATCGTCAAACGTACATTACATGAGAATGCGGTGTCAGAAAATCGTCACACGTACATTGAACCGCCTTTTTCTGGTGTCTCTCGACACTTCGACAAATCTTCTTCTCGCTTCCTATGAAGGCTGTACATATAATAAGAATATGGTGTTTCAGTGGTAAATAGTCACACGCACATGGTCTCGACAGAACGTTCTTCTTGAAAGCTATGAAGGTTGCACAACAATACGATGTTCAGTAAGTCGTCAGGCGTACATTGGAATACTTTTTTTCTGGAGTCTCTCGAAACGTCGACATATTCCAAGACATTCTCCTTATCGTACCTGCGGCAGTCTACATCGTGGCGCTGCTTCCAGCGCGGGAGCATCTTGGCAGCCAGCGCTACCTCCTCTTCCTCTAGCTCCCTGCACGCACATTGGGTGGGGGTGTTTCTCATGTAAGCACATGCCGTCGTTACACCATTGACCACGCGTCCTCGAGAGGACGGAGCATGAACATCGTAGGGGAATGTTGTCTTATGCAAACGAATGCCACAGTCGCTACTCGACTGTTGACCTCGCATCCCTACAATGCCGGGGCGGAGAGATACGCCGGGCTTCGTCGACACGGGCTACGTTTTATAAGGATCAACCAAAAGCTGGTCATCCATCATCCTTGCATTTGCTGTGCCAAACCAGATATGCCATGGGGAGGGGGGGAGGGGGGACAGTAACGCCCAACCAGCCACAAATTTGCGTGCGGCGCAACGACTACGAACTACACTAACTCCTTCTTGATGTGTTCAAAACCTAATTGTGACTAGAAAGCGCTCAATCGATACAACAGAGGAGAGCACTCCGGGGGAGTGTGGTGAGCGAACCGTTTCACATAGCTCGCCACGAGACCCAAGCGGAAGAAGGCATGCATTTATGTCGAAAGAAATGCGTCACTTTTGTATTAAGTATTTATCTCTAGCGTCTATTCTGTTTCGGTGTGAAGACAACAACAACAACAGCAGCAACAACTAAACAACAACAACAACAACAACAACAACAACAACAACAACAACAGCAACAACAACAACAACAACAACAACAACAACAGCAACAACGACAATCTCTAATGTTTGCTGTGTTTCTCCCCAAAGATAGATGGTGCGTCTGTGCAGAAAACATCGAAATGGCGTCCCCCCTGCTAGCCGAACCCGGCGTCCCCGAATGACAGGTACACAGACACAAAAAAAGACTCTTCGTCTCAACGACGGCTTGCTTGCATCCCTCGCCTTCCTCACCCGCCCAACGCCTCCAAACAACCAGCATTTCACGACGGCACCGTACTGGCCTCAACAATCAAGCCATCCGAGCCACGACGCTTCTATCGCTGCGCAGTTGGATCAAAAACCTTGGCTGGAACACACAAAACAAAACAGCATGTGATGGCGCTGTTTCACCGAAACGTTGTTGCGAACACAATCTGAGCAAAATCGAGATCGATGGTTCTCACCCCGCGTCGCCACACGCCCCCCCCTCTTCTGCTGCCGCGGATTCGTCGACTCGAGCGCCTCGGCCAGCACCTCTCGCGAGCTTCGGCCACCACGCGTGCTCCGGCTCTTGCTGCTCCCCCTCTTCGCCCACGGTAGCCGCAGCATCGAGGCCGCCATCCCCGTTGTCGTCGTTCGAGGCCTCCTCCGCCGGAAGGAACAAGCTGGCCACGCGGAACTGGTCGTCGTGTTTTACGCAGTTTTCGGGGACGGGGACGGGGNGGGGGGGGGGGGGGGGGGGGGGGGGGGGGGGGGGGGGGGGGGGGGGGGGGGGGGGGGGGGGTAAGGAGTCAGGAACGGGCAAGTCAGGCGATGTCTACGATGGACAAGGAGATTCTTCAACCTGGTTCGCGGGCGCTCGCGGGAGCTTGTTCCCTCGAGACATACCAGCAGCAGCAGCAGCAGCAACAAAATTAACAATCAACAGCAGGCACCGACGCCACAAAATGAAAATCCTTCCTCGCTCACCTCGACGTCATCCTCCCTAGCAGCAGCCACGTCCGCCTCGCGAATCTCGACCTGCTTCTGCCGCCTGGCCGACGTCCGCCGCTCCGCTCTCAGCTCCGACTGGCGGCCCCCGTTCAGCTTCCCCTTACCCTTGCCCTTGCCACCTTCCTCCTCGCCGCCGTCGTCATCATCGTCAGAGGAGCTGGAACCATCGCTGTACCACTCCATCGCCTTCTCCACGGACGGCCGTCGAAGTCGTCGTTGATTATGCTGCTCTTGCTCGCTGTGCTCGTGGGAGTCATTCCCTGCCGCTGCTGCTGATAAGTCCACCCCGTTTCTGCCATCGCCGCCGCCGCCGCCTACAGCGTCGCCGCCGCCCTCTCCGCCTTCCAAGCCAGAAGCGGAGCCGCCGGGAGCATCAGCGCCAGCAGCAGCCGCAGCTTGAGCCTCGTCGCGTAGACGAAGAACGATCCGCACCGGGGTTGACAGGGTCAGCGGCGGCCGCGGCACCGCTGTCGAGACAGCTGCTGCTGCTGCTGCTGCTGCTGCTGCTGAGGGCACGTCAACATCGCCGCCACTACCGCTGTCGCCGCTTCCTCGACCCGGGAGGCGGCCTGCCGCAACTGCGGCACTGCTGCTGCTGCTGCTCGCGCTTGCAGGGACGAGCTCTCCGGCGCCGGCGGCCGTCCTGGCCGGCGCAGCCCGGGGAGCGGGACGCTGACCTCGGACGATGCAAGCCCGGGTGTCGATCAGCAGCCTGCCGAGCCGCTCCCACGACGGAAGGTCCAGCGTTCGCTCCACGCAGTGCGGGGGCGAGGACCGAGACGGAGAGGCCCAACGACGACGCGGAAGCGGGTAGCCTGCCTGCTGATGCTGCTCGCCGCGGGTGTTAGCCGTCGTGGCGGGGGGGGCGTGGATTGGGACGGGGGAAGGGTGCTCAACGGCGGCGGCGCAAGACAAGCCGCTGTCGCCGTAAGGGTCGAGGTTGAGGAGCCGTGTTGTCACCTGTTCACACCGGGCGAGTTTCCGAGATGCGGCGGTACGAAGGAGCTTGTTTTGGCGGGAAGGCGGGAGCAGACGGGAAACAAAGCGGATACCCCAGCGAGTGCAAACAGTTGGGGCCGATGTACTGCAGTACAGCTGACCAACAAGACCTCGTGCGCGAGAGGTTGGCGAGCACTTGTCTCGCTCGCAGCAGTAGCAGCGGTCGTAAGCGTGGTCGACGTGTGCGCACAACTTACACCACGGAACCTGCGCCCGTTCCGGAGGGGGAGGTGTTCACATTGGTGGGGTGATCAGGTCACCCCCAGGGGGTAAGATCCGTACGCGGGATGGGCAAGGACGCTTCCCACGGAGTGGGACTACTTGGAAATAGAGAGGCGGCTGGCCGCTATTAGCTCTGTTATACATTACTATGGAACGACGGGCGACCGTAAGGATGTTCCGCCGGGGGGGTGACCTGCTCACCCCACCAATGTGAACACCTTCCCCCCGGACCGGGTCAACCAGTAGCAAAACTCCTTCGATGTTAGCTCCCTGGGCTGAGAAAGCGTCTTGAAAGAGGACGGTCGGGTTGATTCACCGTCGCCAACTCTACAACATGTGGAAGCCCAGCGAATGTTTTCCATCTTCACTCCGGAAGGAAAAATGGCGCGAAGTGAGAGAGTACTCGGTTACACGAACCTCGCGGCAGGCGGCGACGTCACCTATCTCCGAAAGCACGTCCTTCAGGGTCCTCAGAGCCAAGACGTGGTCTCCGTTCACCTCCAGCAGGCGCTCCAGGGCCAGCCGGGCTAGGTTTGACAGTCCCGCCGCTCGTGACAGTCTCGCCATCTTCATCCACACCTTTTGTTGGCATTGCAGGGGGGGTGGGAGAACGTCAGGGGGGACGCGATTGGGCGGGGGGGTCGGGGGGG